TCTGTAGCTCTTGTAATTGTGATGTTAGGGTGTTGATTTTAGATCTTTCCCGCTTTCTCCCGTGGGCATTTAGTGCTATAAATTTCCCTCTAAAGACTGCTTTAACTGTGTCCCAGAGATTCTGGTACATTGTATCTTTGTTCTTATTGGTTTCAAAGAATTTTTTTATTTCTACCTTCATTTTGTTAGGTACCCAGTAGTTATTCAGGAGCAGATTGTTCAGTTTCCATGTAATTGTGTGGTTTTGAGTGAGTTTCTCAATCTTGAGTTCTACTTTAATTGCACTGTGGTCTGAGAGACTGTTGGTTATGATTTCTGTTCTTTTGCATTTGCCGAGGAGTGTTTTACTTCCAATTATGTGGTCAATTTTAGAATAAGTGCGATGTGGTACTGAAAAGAATGTATATTCTGTTGATTTGGGGTGGAGAGTTCTGTAGGTGTCTACTAGGTCCACTTGGTCCAGAGCTGAGTTCAAGTCCTGAATATCCTTGTTAATTTTCCATCTCATTGGTATGTCTAATATTGACAGTGGGGTGTTAAAGTCTCCCATTATTATTGTGTGGGAGTCTTAGTCTCTTTGTAGGTCTATAAGAACTTGCTTTATGAATCTGGGTGCTCCTGTATTGGGTGCATATATATTTAGGATAGTTAACTCTTCTTGTTGCACTGATCCCTTTACCATTATGTGATGCCTTTATTTATTTATTTATGATATTTATTGGTTTAAAGTCTGTTTTATCAGATACTAGCATTGCAATGCCTGCTTTTTTTTGCTTTCCATTTGCTTGGTAAATATTCCTCCATCCCTGTATTTTGAGCCTATGTGTGTCTTTGCATGTGAGATGGGTCTCCTTAATATAGCACACTGATGGATCTTGACTCTTTATCCAATTTGCCACTCTCTGTGTTTTAATTGGGGCATTTCACCTGTGTACGTTTCAGGTCAATATTGTTATTTGTGAATTTGATCCTGTCATTATGATACTAACTGGTTATTTTGCCCATTAGTTGATGCAGTTTCTTCATGGTGTTGATGGTCTTTACAATTTGGTATGTTTTTGCGTTGGCTGGAACCAGTTGTTCCTTTCCATATTTAGTGCTTCCTTCAGGAGCTCTTGTAAGGCAGGTCTGATTGTGACAAAATCTCTCAGCATTTGCTTGTCTGTAAAGGATTTTATTTCTCCTTTGCTTGTGAAGCTTACTTTGGCTGGAT